GGGTACAGATGTTTGCAATTTGCTTTAAAAAATATCCAAAAAAAAAAAACCACATGACTGATGGATGGAAGAGGGGTGGGTAGGGACGTCATAAAGCCATCACAGAAAACACACACGGCAGAATCTGGGTGGTGGATATGGGTGTTCACTGTAAAATTCTGTCAACGTTGCTGCATGTTGCAGAATGTTCCTAAAATGAGGAATATTCAGCAGGCTGAGCTTGCATGCTGGCCCCTCATCACCACCCGAGACTTGGGGTGAGCCAGGGTGGTGCCAACAGAGCACGAGTGTGTGGCCAGGCCACGTCTCCACACACGAAGCTGCTCCTCACAGAGGGGTGACTGCAGGAGGCGGCATCCAGCCCGGGTCGGGGCTCCTGACGGACACATGTCCGCTGGGCCCGAGCTGCCCGCCATGAGTCTGGCCCCAGACTGCACCCTCCGGAGTGCCACACAGCACACTGCCCCAGTAAACCCCGAGTTTGGCCCGTCAGAACACAGATGTGGAAAACCACGTGTGTCATGGTCAAGGTAAGCAGAGGATGGGGTGGTATTAACAACCCGAACTAGCAGCAGCAGAGGCGCCCTGCCTAGGCACCGTCACTGTGTTACCAAAGATGGCCTGCAGCGGAGTAGTGTCAGCTCCTCGTCCAGGGCCACAGTCAGTGCAGTACAGCGCCACCACCCACGCCCAGTGCCCACTCCTAAGAAGGGGTCACAGGAGGTCTGTCAGGACAAATGACACACATGCCCCTGCTGCCATTCCTCAACCATTTTCTTGGTTCTGGGAAACCCAGGCCAGTGGATAAGTGCGTGGGGCAGGGGTAGGTAGGGATGGGAGGTTGGAAAGGACCAAGGGCAGGAGGGAGGTGGGGGCTACCCAGAGACGCCAGGCTGGGAGGACCAGGACAGCTGGGAAAGGTGGGGTGAGGGTGAGGGCCGTGGGCTGCAGACCTGGGGCACCACGGATGCGTTTCCTGTTCTGTCTCCCCTAGTTCACTCCCAGAGCCCTGACTCCTGCAGCTACTTCCAGAGCCAGAGTTCCAGGCGGTTTGCTCAATTTCAGTCTTTGAGAACACTGTGACATGTTCAAACCCCATTCTGCCTCTAAAATAAGGCATGTCTGAGTTAGTCATTCATGTGCTGGCTGACTGTGGGCCTCAGTTTCCCCATCTCTGAATGGGGCCTTGCATGAGCCAGCAGTAGTCAGGGGCCTCCCAGCTACCTGTGTCCCTGACGGCTGGGGGGAGGTGCCGCCTCCTTGAGCTACATTAGAAACACACACGGTCGCCCCAGGTGAGTGTGGGAAGTGCCAAGAAGCCCAGACAGGCTGAGTACCCCAGGAGAAGCCTGTCTCCCAGCCCTGTCCAGGCAGTGCGTGGGCAGAGACCAGCAGGCACACTCCCCGCTCTGAGCGGTAACTGCAGTTCTGTAGCTTCACCAACCAGCTGTGGACTAATTACAAAAAGTTCTAACTAGTTGAGCGCCCTCTCCAAGCATATGTTCCCAATTAAGTCAAACTGCAGCTGATTTTAATCAATCTTCCTTGAAGCGGCCTGACTTGAAGACTCTCCTCCAGAGGGAGAGAGGAGAGAGGAGAGAGGAGAGAGGAGAGAGGAGGGAGGAGAGAGGAGGAGAGAGGAGGAGAGAGGAGAGAGGAGAGAGGAGAGGGTATTTGCATAAGGAACACTCGGGATAAACACATGGCCGGCCAGGCGGGGCTGACTGCTAACTGAGCCCTCTTCAGTGCTGCCTCCTCCCGCTGCCTGGCCACTGACCTGCAGTGCTGGGGGGCACAGAGGAGCGTGGGGGCTCCGGGCAGGAAGGAGAAGCACCTGAGCCAGCACACTGCAGCCAGGCCCCTTGGAGGGGTGTCACGTGCTCTCCTGCTGCTTCCAACACCCGGGGACAGAGGTGAGGGGGAGAGGTCTGTGCCCTCAAGATGGAGAAGACAGGGAGCAGCCACAGATGGATATCAGCATCTACTGAGCACCTACTGTGTACCAGGTGTGGCAGTCAGACATGGCGTTTGATTGCCCCAGTAGCCCCCCATGTGGGCATCATTATTTCCAATTTTATAGAGGACATATTGGGGGCTCAGATGACAAAGCCCAGCATGCCTAAGACCATGCAGGCAAGGGACAGGACAGGATTCCTGTCTGCCAAGGACAGCCAGGTCTGCCGACTCGGAAGCCAGTGCCCCCATGGCACCCCTCAGGGCTCCTCACCCCCCGTTTCCACGTGTCCAAGTCACCTGCAGACCCATTTTGATGCTGCCTGGACTGGCTCCCTGGGCTGGACACAAGTTCTACCTTGTCCATTCTGTCGTGACCAGAATGACTGGTCTTCCCACCCTGAGCCGCAGCCTTTGTTCCTGTCTGCCTGGGGGGGAGGGGTGGTTTTGGTGGCCGCCCTCAGTCCAGGGCAGAGCCTGCCCCATTTCCTGCATCCTCAGAGGTCCTGTGCACACAGGTGCTCCTCACATGCTGGATGAGTGGATGGCGGTGGGACAAACTCTCCCTCCCTGACATCAGGGTCAGACTGGAACTGCTGCCATGAAGAAGGTGACCAACACCCCTGAAATGATCAGCTCAGCCTTTAGGATATAAACCCCTCCTTGCCCCAGTGCATCATACAACGGACCCAGGTCAGGGTAGCCAGCATGGGCAGGTGGGGGCAGTGCTAAGGGTAGGGGAGCAGACCAGGGTCCCCAAGCTGAGGCTGGGGGACAGTAGGGCCATCAGGGACACAGCCCTGAGACTGTAGGGAAGCAGGCGTGGGCAGGGTGCAGTGGGGTGGGCGGACGAGAAGTGCAGAGGGGGAGCCCAGGCTCTGGAGGTGACGGGCCTGGGTTCAAAGCCCAGCTCTGGTCCTTCTGGCTGGGTGCCTGCAATCACATACGGAACCTCTCCCAGGAGAGGTTTCCTCATCAGGGAAACGGGAGTAGAGCGCACTCTCTCTGAGGACCACAGACACAGGAGACTTAATGAGAATACGAGGCCACAGGGCCCAGTGACAGCACACAGCAGAGGCTCGAGGCAGTTATGACTACTCAGACGACGGGTTAGGAAATGGGGATGCAGACCGCCTGCCAACACACTGACCCTTCTGAAACGAGCCCCATTTGAGGTACAAGGATGGTCCTTGGATTCAAGCTGAACTGGAAACGTGGAGAAAGGGGCTATAACATGGGACAGAGGCGGGCAGGAACGGCTTTTTGCTGTTGTCTCAGGATCTGGGTGAACAGTAGAGCTGCAAGAATCAGCAAAAAGTCCCCGGGCTCGAAGGTGGTGGGAAACAATCAGAGCAGTCACGGGTGAGAGCCAAGTGCCAGGGCCCCCGAGCACCCATGGGGAGGGGCATGTGGCCTCACCTCCCAGGCTTTGCTCTGGATATCCACTTCCGGGAACAGAGGAGAGGTGGATGTGTGGCTATCTAGAAGCCTCCACCACTCCAGTCCCCTTGGCTTCAGCCCCACCATCCTGCCCCAGGGCCGTGGTGGAGGCTCAGGGAAAATACCAGCCTGGGCTCCAGTCATCACAACTTCACAGGGGCCTCTGTTCCCCCAGGATGACGGAAACAGGCCCCACATGCCATGCCATCTCGGCCACGCTGTGGGCACTGCTCACACACACTCGGCTGCATGTGAACTCAGTGCTCCACACGGCTGCCATCAGCCAGTTCCCCTCTCCCCGCCCACAACCAAGGATGAGAAACCTGGGCACTGAGAGCCAGGCCACACCAACACCAAGGTGAGGACACTGACCTGTGCCCTCCCCATGCTGACGTGGACACCACCTGCCTCCTTGGCTGTGAGCGGCACCAGGAGGCACAGCAAGGCCCCCCACTGTACTCGAGGGCACACACGGAGCTCAGGAGGAAGTATATGGTCAACAAGGCTAATCCCGCTGGTGGAGCGCAGACAAAACTAGACCCTGCCCACCCTTGTCTCCAACACAGAAATTCTCGAGAGGGGCACAAACATTCCATCTTCCCAGGATCTGGTGCTGGTGGCAAACATCCATTAGGCATGGTGCTCCCCTGCACCTCTCACCTCATGTGACCCTCAACAACCACTGCAGGCTCCTTGTGAAGGGCCTGGAAGCCCAGAAGCAGGAAGAAAAGGAAATGAACACTTTTGGCAGGATGCACTGAACCCCAATCACCAGGGAGGCCTGGAAGCCATCAGCCATGATCTCAGGCTGTGCTCAGCTGAATACCCAGCAAGAGATTCACGAAGCCTACTCTGACACGGCACCGCTGATGGGCGGCCGGGGATTCACCTGCCAACAGCCCAGCTCCCCGCCTGAGGACTGCAGCCCAATTAAAACGGTACGAGATGACAGGTCCTAGAGCTGAACACGGTCCAGCCGTGGCTCACAGTACCTCATGTTATCAAAGTTGTCACTTCCCCCATCTCCAGGAATTGGTAATAAAAAAGAGACTTGATTCACCTCTAATAGGTGTCAAGATAAAATCAATGGTCTGTCCAAAATCTGGGTAATCGCAAACCTGCGGGTTGCTTGCCATGGAACAGTTTAGACATGAGGATAAAAATGAAAAAAAAACTAAAATAAAACCAGTGTAAACAGCGTCCAGCTCCACAACTGCAGGTGCAGGGTTCAGGCTTGGGTATAAACCCAGAACCCAACAGAGGAGGCCCCCCTGGGTTCCTCCCCCAATAAAAGCATAGATAATGCGGACACCAGACAGGCTCGGGGCCAGCAGCAGGGAGAAGGGGAGGAAATCAACAGAGTGAGGAGACTGGAGGGCCGGGGCTGGGGACAGGCAGCTGGTGGGCAGGACATCCTCCCTGCTGGGCTCCGGGACACACACTCTCGGCCAGCTAGAGGTGTGTGCGTGAGAGAATGTCCCCGGGATGTCTGTCGGTGCAGGAACCATGGACATACATCCAGGAAGAAAGCAGCAGGGCAGGGTATGCCTGATGGAACACTAGTTCTAGGACCGGTTTCTCCCAGGTGGCTGCCCGCCAGCACGTACCTGCAGGGTAAGCCGCTCAAGCTGCATTTCCAGCATCTTCTTGTCTTCTTCCAGACGACTCCGCTCCCCTTCCAGCTCCTCAATCTTCGACCTGCAAGGAGAGTGAGACCATGACAGGACACCCACTGCAGCCCATGCTGGAGAAGGCCTGCCCTCGGGGTGAAGAAAAGATGAAAGGTTATGAGACAAGGTCATGAAGTTTTGTTCCCAAATATACATACATGAAACTATGACTTTGAAGGGATGACATTAAGAAAAAAAGGGTAAAATACCCAAGCTCAGGATGGGAGGGTGCAACCAATGGCCTCTATTCCGGTGGGAAGGTTCTGCGGGGGAGGAGTTTTCACGGACCACAACTGGACAGGAGCAGGGAGGAAAACCAGCCAGAGGTGGGATAGGTGGGGCCTACGTGTGTCCTGGGCCCAGTGGTCCACTCCCAGAAGGTGTGACTGCGTTTTGGAGAGGACACTGAGAACTGAGAAAACAACCTAAAGCATCTCCAAAAATGAGGAACGGATGGAAGGATCTCCAATGTGGGCCGTGGAGACGGCTGATGACGGGAGGCTCAGGAGGAAAATCCAGGACGAGGAACAGAAGCAAGTGCTGGGGTGACCGTGTTGAGTCCCTGAGCCCTCTGGGCCAAGGAAAGGCCAATGGCCGAGACACGGAGGGGGGCAGATATCAGCTCACTGTAAGACAGCACCTATTTTCGTCTTCATTTTTAAACTTAATTTTTGGAATAGGTACCATATTCATATGATTTAAAAATCAAAAAGCGTATCACAGAGACAGTGCCCAGCACTTACACAGCGTCAGGAACAGAGCCTTCCCCACCAGCCAGAATGGTAAACTCACTTCATAGAGTGTTCAGGAAAGTCTTGGCTTGGGAGGGGGAGATGATTATCTCTAGACTGAGAACTGCTCCAGGACAGCCTAGCAAATCAAAGCAAGACCTGAAAGGACCAAATGCTTTCCAACAAACCCAATCACATCTCTGAAAAAGGCTCAAGAAGATTTACATGAGTACAAAAATGTTCAGAATTCAACAAGCCAAAATTCACAATGTCTGACATCTAACCAAAGATTACCAGGCATTAAAAGTAGGAAAACAGGGGCTGGCCTGGTGGCGTAGTGGTTAAGTTCACACGCTCTGCTTCAGCAGCCTGGGGTTTGCAGGTTCGGATCCCAGGCATGGACCTACACATACTTATCAAGCCATACTGTGGCGGCATCCCACATACAAAATTACAGAAAGATTGGCACAGATGTTAGCTCAGGGCCAATCTTTCTCACCAAAAAAAAAAAGAAAGAAAGAAAGTAAGAAAACATGACCTATAATGAGGAACATAATCAATCAACTGAAACCTACCAAGAACTGCACAGACATTAAATGAGCATCAAGGACATTAAAACAGTTATTGAAACTGTTGGAACAAGGGAACATTATTGCATCGCTCAGTACTTAAGTACAGATAATGGAAGATATAAACAAGACCAAATCGAATTCCTAGAGGTGGAAGCTATAATGTCTGAGATGCAAAATATACTAGGTGGGATTCATGATGGATTAGACTCTGCAGGAGAAAGGTTTAGTGCACTTGAAGACATAGTAATAGACACTATCCAAAGTAAAACACAGAGAGGAAAATGAATCTTTAAAAATGGAAACAGCATCAATGAGCTGTGGGCATCTTCATGAAGCAGAATACATGTGTAACTGGGGTCCAAGAAGGAGAGAAGAGAGGGAGGAACAGAAAAAACACTGCAAGAAAGTTCTAAATTTGATGAAAAGAATAAAGCCACAGATCCAAGAAGCTCAACAAACCCTGAGCTCAAGAAACATGCCGAAAACAGCCCCAATGCAAAAAATAATCCAACTGCTCAAAACCAGTGATAAAGAAAAATCTTACAAGCAGCCAGAGAAGGGAAGAGATGTTACACGCAGAGGAACAAAGTAGATTTCTCAGCAGAAATGATGGAAGTGAAAAGCTGGAGGAGGAAAATCTTTAAAATACTGAAGGAAAGGTAAAATACTGAAAGAAAGGAAAAATACAAACCTAGGATTCTACGCCCAGTGAAAATATCTTTCGAAAGCAAAAGTAAAATAAAGATGTTCCCACACACACAAAAACTGAAAGAACTCATCACCAGCAGACTTGCTCTGAAGAAATGTCACGGGAAGTCCTTCAAGCAGAAGGAAGATGACACCACATGGAAATAGGGACCCACACAAAGGAGGGAGGAGCAACGGAAATCATAACTACATGGGCAAATACAGTATTAAAATCTTTTACAAATATTTAAATTACTAACTATTTTTAAAGAGATTGTTTAAACAAAACTAATAAAAGTATATTGGGGGCTTAAGACCTAAGTATAAATAAAATGTATGACACCAATAGCATGAAGGCTCAAAGGGAAAAAACAGACAAGTGCAGTTGTAAGGTTTTATGCTATATGTGAAAAGATCTAATATCACTTGAAGGTAGACTGTGATCAATGAAAGATATACACTATAAACCTTAAAGCAACCCTTAAAATAACAAAACAGAGAGTTACAGCTAATAAGCCAAAAAAGGAAATAATATAGAATCATAAAAAACACCAGAAAGAAGCCAGAAAAACAGGAAAAAGGGAATGAAGAAGAGATTGGACAAGTAGAAAAGAAAATAGTAAGATGACAGTCAAACCTAATCACACCAACAATCACATTAAATGTAAAGGGTCTAAACGCCCCAATTAAAAGGTAGAGAAACTATCAAAACGGATGAAAAAGCAGCACACAATTATATGCTGCCAACAAAAAAGCACTTTTGATATGAAGATGTAAGCAGACATAACATGCTAACACTAAGAAAACAAACAGAGAAAGCTGGAGAAGCTGCTAATATGAGAAAAAGTAAATTTTAGAGCCAAGAATAGTACCAAGAAGGTAATTTTGTAATGATAAAGAGGCCAATTGACCAAGAAAGCATAACAATCCTAAACATTTATGCACTTATAAAAGAGCTTCAAAAGAGAGCTTCAAAAACTGATAGAAATGCAAGGAGAAACAGACAAGTCTACAAGTATCATCAGAGATTTCAATATCACTCTCTCAATAATTGACAGAATATTTTGCAAAACATCGGGCAGGATAAAGTAGATCTGAACACCACTATTAACCAACTTGACCAAATTGACATTTATAAACAACCCAACTACAACATCAGAATACACAGTCTTTTCAAGGGTACACAGAATATTTACCAGGACAGACATATTCTGGGCCACAGAAAGAGGCTCAATATATCAAAAAGAATTTTAGTAATTCAAAATATGTGACCATAATGGAATTACACTAGAAATCAGTAACAGATAGATATTGGGAAATATCATTTACAATGATGTTTAAATACATTCACCCAAAATATGAACTATGCAGTTCATCAACTATGCAGAGATAAATCTGGAAAAGTGATGCAAGGCCCGCACACTGAGAACTACAAGGCTCTCAGTTAAGCTGACAGAAATTAAAGACAAGCTGAACACATGGAGAGAGACACTGTCTGCATTCACGGGTGAGAGACTCAATACTGTTAAGATTTCACTTCTCCTCAAATTGTTCCACAGAATCAGAGCAAATCTCAATCAAAATCCCACGAGTTTCTTTGTACAAGCTGACAGGCTTATTCTAAAAATCACACGGAAATGTAATGGACCTAGAATAGTCAAAACAACATTGAAAAAGAAAAAGTTGGAGGGTAAATAGTACCTAATTTCAAGAATTATTATAAAGCTACAGTAATCAAAACAGTCCTGGCCTGAACACAGATAGACCAATGAAACAGAACAGAGTCTAGAAATAGATATACATGTACACACGGACAGCTGTTTTTGGTAAATATACTAAGGCATATGAGGGTAGAAAGGATGGTCTTTTTCTTTTTTTTTTTTTTTTAATTTTATTTATTTATTTATTTTCCCCCCAAAGCCCCAGTAGATAGTTGTATGTCATAGTTGCACATCCTTCTAGTTGCTGTATGTGGGACGCGGCCTCAGCATGGCCAGAGAAGCGGTGCGTCGGTGCGCCCCGGGATCTGAACTCGGGCTGCCAGCAGCGGAGCGCATGCACTTAACCGCCAAGCCACGGGGCCGGCCCGCGGATGGTCTTTTTCAACAAATGGTGCTGGAACAATTGGGTATTCCTAGGAAAAAACCCCTAAAACCCATATTTTGTACAATATAAAAAACTAACTCAAAATGGAAATAAACCTATATGTAAAATGAAAAATTATAAAATTGCTAAAAAATATAGGAGAAAATCTTTGTGAATTGGGGATAGATAAAGGTTTTGTAAGTACGGTATCTAAATCATCATATATAAAAGAAAAAAACTGATAAAAACTTCTCTTTAAACGATTTCATGAAGAGAATGAAAAGACAAGCTGTATAATGGGAGGAAGTATTTGCAAAGCAAGTATCTGATAAAGGACTTGTATCCCGAATAATAAAGAACTCTCCAAACTCAACAACAAGAAAACAAATAGTCAAATAAAAAAAGGACAAAAGACGTGAACACTTTGCCAAAGAAGACATATGATGACAAATAAGCACATGAAAAGATGCTCAATGCCATAAGTCACTGGGAACATAAAAGCTCAAACCACAAGGAGACACCACTACGCATCTCTCAGAAGGATTCAAAGAAAAAGACTGGCCACACCAAGTGCTGGTGAGGAGGAACCAGAACTCTACCCTGCAGGTAGTGGGGTCTAAAATGGTACCGCCACTTGGCAGTTTCTTGGAAAGTTAAACATACAACTACCAGCCATTCCACAATTAGGTGTTTACCCAAGAGAAAAGAAAGCATTTCTACACAAGGACTTTATTCATAATACAAAGCCAAAAACTGGGGAAAACCAAATGTCCACCAACAAGTGTGCGCATAAACAAACTGTGGTACATCCATACAAGGGAATACCACTCAGCAGTGAAAAAGAACAAAGCACTGATGTGTGCACACAGTCATGTCTCACAACAACTGTGCTGAGAAAGACGCCGGACAAAGAAGAGCACGTACTGCACGACTCCATTTCCGTACAACTTTGT